TAGTTGGACAAGCCCTGCGCACTCTAACGTCACGAGCTGCCGGGACAAGCTTCGCACGTGAACGTAGTCTAAAGCTGGTGGAGGTCGGACGCGCCACCGCTCACTCTCAAGAAATGATGCTAGAGCACCTGAAATCACGTCATAACCTTACACTGGTCTTGACCTTAAGTCACGTGCTCACACGATCTTCTAACCGCGGTGACATGTCTATACCGTACACGTTACGTTGTCTGGTGCATTGTGGGAAGCCTTCTAACGCTTCTTTGGCTGGTTCTAGCGACGTAACCCGTCCGCCAACTCTGCACGCACATGGTTTGTACGAATGCCTGTGTGCCCCACGGTTTCAGGATGTAGCGGGTCGATTTGGACATTTGCCTGGTTCTGCGAGGGCCTATTTGTAGCCTTCAGTCTCTTATCTTGTTATTTTGTCATCTATCTATGTTAGATGTTCCTAAAATGTACAGGATTTAGATTACTATGCGATTTTGATCCGCCGCCGAGCAACATATGTCCAGCATTATACAGTGCGTTGGGAGTAAGGCAGGTTTTGTGTGACATTTCGGCGCGTGTTGACGCCCGGTCCTATACAGAGTGGGCGGGTCGTCCTCAGCGGTGCGCGGCGGCGGAGGTGCCGGTGCGGCCAGCAGAATGGCATTCGCTTCACAGTTCGCATCGACAATGACCATGCGCGATGACACCATGGAACGTGTATCAATTTGTAGTACTCTCGTGTTAGCAATGTACAGCACAGGAACGATATGACTTATTTCAGTGACATTAATGTGAATCATTCTTAACACGAGCTCATGACATGAGACGAAATTGAATTTGAGGCTTGATTCAAGGTCGAATTGAGTTGCACGAGAGAAGTGAGGTCGGAGATCGGTCGGTCGGATTGAGAAGTGGGTTCGGATTGAGTTGCACGAGAGAAGTGAGGTCGGAGATCGGTCGGTCGGATTGAGAAATGGGGTCGGATTGATTTGCACGAGAGAAGTGAGGTCGGAGATCGGTCGGTCGGATTGAGAAATGAGGTCTGAGGTCGGTCGGGCGGGTTGAGAAGTGGGATCGGATTGTTGTGCATGGCATACATAGCACGGTTTGTGCCAGTACGTATGTCGAACGGGCTGTGCCGCTCTGTTATGGAATCCTTACTACCGTCAGATGATGGTGGCGTTACTAGAAGAAAGTAAATAAGCGAACTCCATTACAGAACGTCACTACGCATGACGCGCTTTTATGAAAACGACAGAAAAATACATATTTTGGCAGACCCGGACCTTTAACCAAACGGAAGACACATCCCTCAGGAGCAGGCACGCACCTAGAGCCAAACAACAGCATGCCTCAAGCGCTGAGTCCTGCAGGATCCTGAAGCCCCTTGGGATCAGGTACTTGTCTGGTCAGGGAGCGGGTGTCGGCTTCGCATCCGGAGCTTTTCACGCAGGCAGGACGAATCGGCCGTGAGCAGGCGCTGCTGGTTCCTCGGTCGGCATGCGCACCGATAAACCAGCAGCGCCTAGCCACGCCTGACGATCAAACGCCTGCGAGAGGCCAGGCAGCCTCACAAGTAAGCGCCTCTAGCCGACCTGCTGGTAACATATAGGTGCTGTTCGCAGCCTCCCTGCTTGTTTGACGTGATGCTAAAGCGTGGCCGCCAGCATGCTGTACAGTGCGACACTCGTGACCGTTCCTGCCTGGGTGGGCGGCCCGATATACTCGTCGCCGGTAGCTCCACCGCCCCCAGCTGTCCGAGTTCCACGGAGAACGCTCCGGCGGCGGCCTGGCCAGGCCCGCAGCGCTCCGCTGCCCCCAGCTGTCCGAGCTCCGCGGAAAACGCTCCGGCGGCGGCCTGACCAGACCCGCAACACCCCGCTGCCCCCAGCTGTCCGAGCTCCGCGGAAAACGCTCCGGCGGCGGCCTGGCCAGACCCGCAACACTCCGCTGCCCCCAGGTGTCCGAGCTCCGCGGAGAACGCTCCGGCGGCGGCCTGGCCAGACCCGCAGCTCTCCGCCGCCACCAGCTGTCCGAGCTCCGCGGAGAACGCTTCTGCCGCGGCCTGGCCAGGCCCGCAACACTCCGCCTTCATTGCGGCGTGCTGGGAGGCTCTCGTCTGTCCCTGCTGAAGCGACATGGAGTCTGACAGCCCGACGCTGTACTATGTCACGCAAGGGACGCTAACTTATGCATAAACGTCAGCGAAGTGCAAATTGCCGGTGGCTATACCGCGGCAGCGCTGCATGTCTTGGCAGGTCAGGAATTCCATGGTCCATGTGATATTCAGCGCATACCACATGGGTACCAAAACCAAACAAGCCACCACATGTTGCCAGGCATGGAAACGGCTTGCTGAAGCGAATAATGCGCTGCTGCGTTATTGAGCAAAATTAAACACGCAAGTTCTCGAACTCGAGACGCTGAAAACAAAGTTGGAAGTGGATCAGAAGTTTTTCTTCTTCGGCGGCCAAATAACCTGGGCTGTTTGTCTAAGACGATGGCTTGACGGTTGGCGGGTCTTTGAAAAGAGCAAGTCACAATTTTTTAACGATTTTTAAATAAGAGTTTTCGGTTTTATTTGCCGATATATACTATCAGCTATGCTGACCGTCTTCAGGTATATTTCTACACACGACAAGCAGATCGGGAGATTCCCACGAGTGATACCCTGCGAGCCGAGCCACCCAAACGCGCGCTGGTCGATCACTTATCTCGGGCTAATATAAATGTGATAGATTATATGCCAACGTATCCGTTTGAAAGTGATTTACTTTTGCTGTCAAAGTTTCGCTTTATTATAGCTCATCGCAGGAATCGCGTTCAGGCCATCCATCAGCGTAGCTCATTCGTAGCTCATCATCGGGCCATCGCTGACGTCGTGGGAACATCAAACTTCTTCACAATGGCTTATTTCAGAAAAAAAACAAAATGCTTTCAGCGAGGAAGGGATCAGTCCTTGTCGTGGTTTGAGCTAGAAAGCCGTGATATCGCTTCACTTCGCACGAATATACATTAATTTCCGATCGGATACTAGCGCTTTTTGTGATTGTTACGATAAATTTGGATTAGAAATGATGCAAAGTTGCACCAAAGCAAAACCGGGCACCAGCTGCATTAACGGCATGGTTACATCCATGTTGGTGACTGTCAACCTGTCTTTAGCAATGTTTCGTTTAGTAAAAGCGCGAAGTAAAGCATGACCTCTCCTGTCATAAATCTAACCAGATATAGGCAGCACTCATGTGCTAAAATTCACTGGAATGAAAACACTGACGAAACAGATCCATTGTATCGAACGCTTCACTGTGGACTCTTTCGTTGGCCGTCCGGTTTAAGTTGCGTTTCGCAAGCCGAAATTCCTTCGTTATGATCATTGAATGGACTTCCTGCATGACATGCACGGTCCACCATGTACGTCCCTAGCCACTGCAAATGTTCGTGGCGGCCTACATCTGTCAGCACACTTGCCCGCGTGTCTTAACTGAATCAGATCCCAGTTTGCCTGGGCGCCTGGCTCACTCAATGCGACTGCTGCGAGACGGCCCCAGACGGTTCGGGGTGTGCCGGCAAACAATGCATACAAATCAGGCAGCCGGTTGAATTCAGCCTACAGCTTTCGTGATCTGTCATGCTTGCAGTGTTGCGTGACAGCTTGCTGAGAATCGAGCAGCGTCGGGAAGGGTGCGACTCGCCATCCTCCCAAGGCGCCGGACTGTCACCAGCGAGCGACTCGCCATCCTCCCGAGGCTCCGGTCTGTCACCAGCGAGCGACTTGCCATCCCCCCGAGGCACCGGACTGTTACCAGCGAGCGACTCGCCATCCTCCCGAGGCACCGGACTGTTACCAGCGAGCGACTCGCCATCCTCCCGAGGCACCGGACTGTTACCAGCGAGCGACTCGCCATCCCCCCGAGGCGCCGGGCTGTCACCAGCGAGCGACTCGCCATCCCCCCGAGGCTCCGGTCTGTCACCAGCGAGCGACTTGTCATCCTCCCGAGGCACCGGACTGTTACCAGCGAGCGACTCGCCATCCCCCCGAGGCGCCGGGCTGTCACCAGCGAGCGACATCCTCTCGAGGCGCCGGACTGTTACCAGCGGAAGGTTAAATCTCACGCTGATCACTATACAAAGGACTCCTATGTGCACCAAAGACGAGTCATTGAATTTGCAGGCCGTCTGCAAAAGCCGGGATTTGCCTGCATGTATAGCGATTTAAAAATAGAAAAGTCAGTACCAAAGGTGGTGCAGGTACTCAACACAGTATCAACAATACGCCAGTGGGTATTTTCACGCGTTCATGCTGATTCGACTGCATTCACTGGTGTTGGGAAACATCACCAGCATTGGTGTCGGTTAACACTACCAGCACTGGTGCCAGTTTTCTGCTTCCAGTAGTGATCATTCCATAAACATTTTAGACGCATGAATCATTTGTCCGAGTGGCGTTGGAACCAACGTTAACGCCCCCACTGTGAGACATCAACACAGGCGGGCACGCCGCCCCGTCCGGCTTGGCTTGTTCAACACCACAAACTTGCTGTCGCACACCATCGCCCGCCTGTCATCGAGTTCAATGTGGTGTGCCAGGCCTGATGCAATCAGCGTGTGCTTGCCAATGATGCCTGTTTTCGCAGGCCGCCCAGATCCGCATTTACCGCAAGCCCTGACAGGAAGCAGCGCGTTACCCCGCACCAAACTGAACAGCCATCTCCCGCCCGCCCGCACGCAAGTTCAGTTGAATGCATGCGGCTCCGACGGCACGACGCGCGCCCAGCCATGTTGACCGTCGGGTGGGGGGTGCGACGGCAGGTTTGGCCCGTCATTTCGATCCCGGCAGCCGGCTAATTGGCAGGGGGTCCCGACGGGCAGCGGCGGCGGCCACCGCCCGTCCGTCGGTCGTATCGATCGCACTTGTTGATTCGTTTCGGCCGCAATAGATGGCGGGAGTGGCGCGCGGTGGCCGGCGCAGTGGGTCGGCCTGCCAGGGTGTCCGCGGCCAGGCGGACGGCGGGAGCGCGCGCGCGCGGCGCCGACATGCGCCATGTCGGTTAGCCGCAGGTGGGCCGAGGACTACGTGTCGGTGCTGCTACCGGAGGTGGTCAGCGCGCGCAGTGTCGTCTCGGCGCTCCGACTCAGCGTGGGCCGTTCGGGCCGGTTGCTGTTCTACGGCGGCTTGCTGCTGGCGCTGGCCGTCTCGCTCAGCGCGCCGCTGCTGCTGGCGTTCAGCTGCGCCGCGTGCGTTGTACTGTCGACTGCCGCCGCCGCTTTGACACTCGAGTCGCTCGGCGGCCGCCACCTGTACCTGGTCCTGTGCGCATGCGCGCTCGGTGAGCTGCTTCAGCTGGTGTGGCCAGGTGTGCGTCTGCCAGTGCTGGGCGGCGCGCTGCTGCTGTGGGGGCCGCGCTGTCTCGACGCTCGCCTGCTGGCTACCGTCGCGCTCTGGCTGCTGCTGTCGGCCGGCCGCCTGCTGCTGGCGGCGCCGCTGCTCTACTTGCTCTGCAGCCTGGGCGGCACCCTCGCGCTCTGGCTGCGGGTGCGTCTGGCCGTGCCGCTCTGTGAGCCGGCCGCCGCCGACGGGCGCGCGCTGACGCTGCGCCGCTGCCGCACCAGCAGCAGCTTCTCCTGGCCAGCCGGCATGGGGCCCAAGATGCGGCGCACCTCGCTGCCGGCCATCTCGGTGCAGCGGAGCCAGCTGCCGCTGGCGGTACAGGTGAGTGGCGGCGGCGTCGGGCGCGCGCGCTCGCGTGCTTGGTGGAGGACTCTCCAGTCTCTCTTGCGACCAGATGACCGGCTGATGGCCAGCAACCGGAGGCAATCTATTGCTGAGTATGTGAAAGTAGGCGCCTCGATATCGTTTATAGGGATGTGATCGAATCGAAAGGCCGTGCTATCACGTTGAATGATAGTTTTGCTCAGCCGCGACCAATGTTGCATGTCCACCGTCAACTGTAACTACCCGCTCTCCTACAAAACGCCCGAAAAATGCCAACGTGATTGGACAAACCCAGTTACAGGAGGTAATCACGATGAAAAGACCAGCTGCAACTGTGTATTCATGTTCATCTATTTCTTTTACGCGCTAGATCAGCAGCAAAGCACCTGGTGCTGGCGCTACCAAGACCATAGAGACACCAGAACACTTAGTCGATCCTGCAGGGCAGATAGACTTAGCTTTGCTCAAAGCCATGGGGCCATCGCGATTAAGATGTCTTGGCCGGCGGGCGGACGGAGCGGTCGTGCTTGCGGAACGCCCGTTTCCGGGCTGCGCGCAGACGGCTCAGGGAACCGGTCCCGGGACGTACGCGTCTGCCAGTGCGCTCGGTGCGCCGAGCATTACCCGGCGCCGTCCCACCATTGGCACGAAGTCCCATACGAGCAGAACGCGACCGGGCTGGCCGGTGACGCGGCGTGAAATCGATTAGCCGCGGCGGCGTGCGGGACGCTCAGGATCGGATGGCGCACTTCTGGGCGCTGCGGGGGCTTCACGGCACCTGTTCCGCACGATTTCACCTGGTTGCTATTGTAAGCAGGCTGTTCCTCGACTGTAACCTCGCAGAAAACTGTGCAAGATATTGGGAAGCGTGGAGTTGTAGATTGAGAATGTGCTCTTGTATCGCTGTTGCATCTTTGTATTCCGCCGGATAATGAAGATTCAAGCGGTGATCAAAGAAGTGATCAAATGATATCATCAAGAAGCTGATTTCACATTCATTGCACGCATGACAATGAACAATGGATCGGACCAATATACTTGTGCCATAATGAGCTATTCAGGATTTTCTTCGATCGCTGGGCACACATTCTGCTCATGATGGAATGCGCTGTCGTTCTCACGCTAGACGCCTAAAATCACGTAGCGTGGTACATTCAGTCACAGCAAGACAGCATTGTGTCATTACGGGATAAAAAGCCTCAAAGCATGTTCACACGCTATCGCTTATTTGATGCTCCTTCCTTTGCCATTGCCAAAAGCGCCCGAGGCGCAATGTCTGATGTGATTTTAACACTATCCACGGTTCATGTTTGTGGCCTGCCACGGTCGCAGTGTTGATGACACAAACCCCTCGCACCATATCCACAAAATTCACCACCATCACCCTGGTGGTTTCCTGCTAAAAGCACGTGAACGAACTGCTAGCAGATGAAATTATCAGTTCTCCGCAATAACTTTGCTCTGGCTAACGGTGCATGGTCTTGTTAAAGATTAGATTACAACGTCTGGTGGCTTGCATGTACATGTGTGATGCCACGACAGTGTAATGAATTTATTCTGGAAAATTATAAGTTTCATAACAATTGACGGCTCCAAACTTGGTAGCACGAAAGGGCCCATTGGAATGCTGCGCAGAATATGTGGATTCATTGGAAATATTTTCGTTGATCAAATTGAAGATTATTTAATTAACACCCCAGCAAAACAACATTGACCGCCCCATCAGTGCAACAACAGTTCACACACGAGGTTACATTCAAACGTATCACATGATGGCTGACACCCGCACGATAACCATTCGCACTCTTAACAGAGTCCCTCTCTGCGCGCAGTGCATCTTTAGTACACTGCCGTTTTTAGCTGCGTCGGTAGCAGCACACTGCAGGGCACGGCCGCCATAACATTGGTTCTCGCCGACCTGCAGACATCACCCGCCTCACCTCACTCTTTTAACTAAATGAAATCTCCCAGCGCTGCCGGTGAAATTCGAATTCGTGGCATTTGTGGCACCCATGTCGTGGGAATCCCTAAATCCACTAATTGGATGTGTTTTTGGAAAGGGTACCCTGATCAGCTGCTCAGTCCTGAAGGGGAGGGAGGGGTCTGACTGAGCTCCTGGGGGTGAGGGAGGGGTCTGACGGAGTCCCTGAGATGAGGGAGGGATCTGACGGAGCTCCTCCGGGTGAGGGAGAGGTCTGGTGGAGCTCCGGAAGGTGAGGGAGGGGTCTGGCGAAGCCCCTGAGATGAGGGAGGGATCTGACTGAGCTCCTGGTAATGAGAGAGAGGTCTGGTGGAACCCCTGGAGGTGCGGAAGGGGTATGACGGAGCTCCTGGGGGTGAGAGAGAGGTCTGGTGGAGCTCCTGGAGCTGAGGGAGGGGTCTGGCGAAGCCCCTGAGATGAGGGAGGGATCTGGCGGAGCTTCTGGAATCCTCTGTTATAATTTTCACGTCCGGATCTCTCTCCTCACACCCCTTGTTTTCTCCTCAAATGTAGCTTCTGAGCACACGAATCTGACAATGTGCTGTAGGGAGGCGGTGTGGACGTACCTTCGAGAGAATTACTTTTAAACAGCCAATTTTGAGATGCTTTACTATTTCAATTTTCTCAACAGCAGTCAGAGGGTCTTACGTTCATCCAAAACAACATTTTACATACTTCAGGACAGACATTTGTTTAACTATGTCAAGCAGACGCATACGGTTCATAAAAACGCCACCATCGCTGCACGGCTCACAAAACATCCCCAAGGAGACGCAGTCCATGCACCAGCCCTAACAGGCGTGGCACAGCCAGGCGTGCCCGGGCCACGTCTGCCCGGCGCGTCCGTGCGTCGTGCGTCTCGGCGCGCCGGCGAGCCGCGCCTGACGCCCGTCGTCACGCGCCGGCGCTATCATCGGCGCTCGCTGCCAGTCGTGCGGCCAGATAGCTGTAACGACAGCACCGGACGTGGCCTTCCGGCGCCGGCTTCCGCCGAGACGGCAACCGAATTCAGCGCTGAAGAGAGTGGTGCAACGGCTGCACTGGGAGACAACAGAGAGTGGCGAGCGGCTGCACTGGGAGACAACAAAGAATAGCGAGCGGCCGCACTGAGAGACAACAGAGGATAGCGCACGGCTGTACTGGGGGACAACAGAGAGTAGCGAGCGGCTGCACCGGAAGACAGCAAAGAATAGTGAGCGGCTGCACTGGGAGACAACAGTGAGTAGCGCACCGTTGTACTGGGGATAACAGAGAGTAGCGAGCGGCTGCACTGGGAGACAACAGAGAGTAGCGAGTGGCTGCACTGGGAGCCAACAGAGAGGAGGGCCAGGAGACAGCAAAGGGCTGAGAAAGACAACAAATGGGTGAGAAGGTGGCCCAAGTTGAGACAACAGCCTGACAGTCAGTTGAGGCAAGAGGTCAGTGTGAAAAGACTGATCAGTGGGCAGCGGTAAAACGACAGCTCGGCGGCCAGCATGGTGGCGGTGACAGCGCCAGGAGGCGGCCCAAGACAGCGGTCTGAGTGTGTCCACCGCTAGTTCGGTGAACACGCTGAGACGGTCGCGCAGCAGGCCCTCGAGACGCAGCCCAGCAGCTCGCTGCAGACCGTCGAGACGAACCCCAGCGGTCCGCTGCAAGCCCTCGAGAAACAGCCCAGCAACCCGCTGCAGGCCCTCGAGACGCAGCCCAGCAGCCCACTGCAGACCCCTGAGACTCAGCCCAGCAGCCCGCTGCAGACCCTTGAGGCGTAGCCCAGCAGTCTGCTGCAGACCCTTGAGACATAGCCCAGTAGCCCGCTGCAGGCCCTTGAGACGCAGCCCAGCAGCCCGCTGCAGGCCCTTGAGACGTAGCCCAGTAGCCCGCTGCAGGCCCTTGAGACGCAGCCCAGCAGCCCGCTGCAGGCCCTTGAGACGTAGCCCAGTAGCCCGCTGCAGGCCCTTGAGACGTAGCCCAGTAGCCCGCTGCAGGCCCTTGAGACGCAGCCCAGCAGCTCGCTGCAGACCCTTGAGACGTAGCCCAGCAGTCCGCTGCAGACCCTTGAGACGTAGCCCAGCAGCCCGCTGCAGACCCTTGAGACGCAGCCCAGCAGCCCGCTGCAGACCCTTGAGACGCAGCCCAGCAGCCCGCCGCGCCTGTGCTTCAGCTGAGTGTCGTCGGCGCGCCGTCCTCGTGGCCGCCGCGCGTCGCCGCCGCTGTGCGCTGTTTACGCGCCCCCAGGCAGCGGGCCAACACTCTCGCCCCCCCCCCCCCCTCCCTCCTCATCGCCTCCAGTCGGTTGGCACGCGGCGCGCTCGGGGTTGTTTTCGTGCGGAGGCGGCGGCGGCGGCGGCGGCGGCACGCCCCCCGCATGGCCTGCACGCGCGAGGGCCGGCGCACGGGCTGGCGGCCGTGCGAGCTGCACGCGTTGCGCGGCATTTACGCTCTCTGGCAGGGGCGTTGGCGGAGTTTTGGTACTTTTATCTTTGCCTACAGCACGAAACACAGTGCCGTGACACACCTTAACTGGATTCCGTCTGGGTTGTCGCTGGTTTAGCCCACAACGAAATGTCGCCAGCGGCCTCGGTAAAACCTGGGCATACATGCTCTCCTGACCTGACCATCTGGCCCCGCGGCACGGCTTGCAGTTGCAGGTCAGGTCTGGCTCGTGAGCTGACCTGACCCAGGCCGGACCGCTGACGTGGGCCCGAGGCAGGTCGAGGCCGGCCGCTCGAGGCGGCCGCTGCGTCATCGCACGCCCCCAATCGATGCCATTATGTCTGGCAGATTGCCGAAATAAGCGGCGCGCTCGCCCTGTGCCGAGGGCGCGGCGTCCGCGCGAAGAAGGGCTGGGCCGGCGGTGCGGGCGCGCGCCGGCCGCTGCCGTCTCGTTGGACAGCCGCGGCGAGCTGGGCATACCACGGAATGCGGGCTGGGTCGCTCGACGGCCCGCACCGGCTCAGCTGCGACGACTGCGGCTGCTGCCGCCGGCGGCGCTCGGAGTGGACGAGTGTTGAAGCGGCGGTCCGACCTTGCGATGAGACAGGCTCCGGGTCACGTACCAGCGGTGGGCCGTGTGATCGGGTCGGCCAGCCGCGAACAAAATGGCCCTGGGAGCAGAAGCGGGCCCAGACCCCAAGCAATAATCACCGAGCGGCCTGGTCGCGGGTCGCGCCGGCCTGATGGGTCGTTGCGGGCGCCCCGAAGTTCGGCGGGAACCGAGCCACTTATCGTTTGCTAATTATTAATCAGCCCGTTCAGTAGCCGTTTATCAGTGTCGCCGGCCATGACGCTAGCGGAGCTGTGGGCGGCGGAAGTTGCCCATGGCGACAATCGGCCAACAGGCCTTGCGGTAATGGGCGGCATGCACAAAATCTCTCGATGACAACGCTTTCTTTTCCAACCACTCTGTTCCCCTGTGGCGTGGAAAAGGGGTCCTAGGCTGTCCATTCGCTCTGCACTGGTCACACGGGCTGCGCTTTAAAAACTTGGCAGCACAACTGCTTGCTGAAGGGATGCGCAAAGTACGCCGGCGCTGAGCGGCCGGTGACATATCGCTGTGTTCCTTGGAAGGCGATTGGCCAAACAGACTCCTAACATTATGCGGTCAATCTTTCTGATTAGTGGTACGTTGCTAACTCGCGACCGCTTGGAGGAAGAGGATAACATGCGTCTGGGTGACCCGTTCAACGCCACATGCTCGAATGGGAGGAGGTGGAGGCAAAATGTCACATGGTCGGGTGGGAAGGGGAGAGGGGAGGGGGAGGGGACAATTGACCCCCGTCCTTAAGATCTTGAAAAACTGAGAGAGCTAGATGCACCGAATTACTTGTATGTGAGCTTACTTGTATGCAACTTGAAGGTTGCTGGGTCATGATCTTCAGGTCAAATGAGGTCAAATAAGGTCAAGCTCCAGATTCGAGTCCAAAGCGTGTCAGACCTCCAAATGCAGCCGCCTGAAACCTAGATATCTACTATAAGCAAAAGATCACTGGTATTCACTGGTGTCTAAACTAGACATCCCCTAAGATGTGCATATCATATCGCGCAGACTATTTTAAGGTCATTCAGGCATCCCTGATGTCATAATAACGCAATTCAGATCCTCAAATTCCATTGGCCATGCGGCGGTCCAGACAAAACAAGATTGTCGAGTCGTTCATATCTAACATTCGCGGGCACGACTTCCAGATTGGCCGTCAATTGGATCTCAATCAACGTTGCGCAAGGTACGATGACGCCATCAAGGAATGCCACGCTGAGAAACATTTTGATGAATAGAGAAATTCTGTTCTAAAATAGTATTTTCCACTCTAACGTATACCAAAAGTTACGGTGAGCTTACTTCATCACACCTGATGCTCACTTCCGTATCCGTCTTCAAAGGTGGCATGCTCCGTTTAAAGCGTCTTCTCCCGATCCGCCCACCCGTGGCGGCATGAGTTCGAATCGCTTTAGGCCCTCGCCCTTTGCCGCAGACTGGGGTGGCCCGCAGACGGTGGCGGCGGACCCACTAAAGGTCAGGTGACGTCAGAGAGCAGGACAAGCCGTGCCGAGCATTGCGGCACGTTAAGCTGTCGCCGTAATATTCCACCACTGGCCCGGAATATGACGAACGAACGGCGAGGCCAGCGCGCACGCAAGGGGACGCTCAGCATCGCGCTGATACCAGAATTTCATCCGATCAAAAGGGTCGGCTGCATGTTAAAATGGCTTAAAAGCGCAGAACCTAAGTGATTTACCATGCCACTTGTCATAAGCCTGCGTGGTTACCACATCAAAAGACTAATGATTAATATGAAGCACATGTACCTAGAGCAACGAAGTTGGATCCCATGAGTTATTTACTTTTCTGACCTTGACTTGGCCTTGGCCCATGACTGTCAAAACTATGGCAGAATTCTAAAATGCATTCTGTAGCACTACTTTTCAAAGCTTCGCTATCAACATTGTTGATGCTTAAGAGCCACAAAGTCATTCAAAAACTTATGTATGACCAATAGGGTGTCTTCGATCATTTGTGACTCTATCAATCACGTCACAAGCATCAGCTGAAGGGCTCCTTTGTAAAATTGACCAGGGCTATCGATAACCGTTATAATTACTCCCACTCCGACAATCAGGCGCTGAGCATCCAGGCGGGGAAAGGATACCTTTAACATCCTGGCCTCTCTGGTGACCGTCGCTGGTGGCGGTCTCTGGTGGCGGTCTCTGGCGGCGGTCTCTGGTGGCGGTCTCTGGTGGCGGTCTCTGGCGGCGGTCTCTGGCGGCGGTCTCTGGTGGCGGTCTCTGGCGGCGGTCGCTGGCGGCGGCCTCTGGCGGCGGTCTCTGGCGGCGGTCTCTGGCGGCGGTCGCTGGCGGCGTAATCCACAGACGGTATCGGACTAACTCAGCTTTTTATGCTTCGTATTGGCAGAAGTCATGTGACGAGCAGTTTGCTGGCTACAACCTATTTCTAGCTAGCTACTGCCCTCGCGCAGTTGAGAGAAAAATGTACAATCGACCTATTCAGATGCATTCTTATGTTATACCCATGGCTTAGATGCATCCTTGGTTGTTTGGTTATCGAGGCAGGGAGTTTTGAAACAGCCTCACACATGTTTTTTATAGGTCTCGATTTACCTTGTGGAAAGTGTTGGTACTTTGCGTGTATGCATCTGACTGAAAACCCTCGCTGTCCATTCCTTACAATCTTGTCTCGATTAGATAGATAGCAGGTGAACAGATAATGAAGTGACAGCTACAACCCTGGAGCCACGATTGCCTAATGTGTGAAATATATCGGAACCTTCAGGAAATGTTGATTGCTATTCACGTCCGCTGCACTTCTCCCCACGCTGTCCGAGGACGACTTCAAATTGACTTCAAGAGAACGATTGTTATGGTAATCCATGACGTCATTATGCAATTAAATCGAAAACTAAGTTTTCAATTGAGTGAACTGTGTTTCTTGCAGTCTTCCGTGAATGGGAATCGGAATTCGGTAAGTCTGCTGCGCCCACATGTTAATGCATGGTTGACCGTGGTCCGCATTTTCTCCTCGAACCAGCACCTCACCGCTAATGCGCTGTGTACATTATTAAATTGTCTGAACACTGGATGATCAAAGTGCTCGTGAGTCAAGTAGTACACAATGAGCACCTATGGGGTTTTCAGCCGCCGTTTTGGCGGCTTTCATCAAATTGCGAGAGCGAGAGCGAGAGCGAGAGAGAGAGAGAGAGAGAGAGAGAGAGAGAGAGAGAGAGAGAGAGAGAGAGAGAGAGAGAAGAGAGAGAGAGAGAGAGAGAGATAGAGAGAGAGAGAGAGAGAGAGAGAGAGAGAGAGAGAGAGAGAGAGAGAGAGAGAGAGAGAGAGAGAGAGAGAGAGAGAGAGGAGAGAGAGAGAGAGAGAGAGAGAGAGAGAGAGAGAGAGAGAGAGAGAGAGAGAGAGAGAGAGAGAGAGAGAGAGAGAGAGAGAGAGAGAGAGAGAGAGAGAGAGAGAGAGAGAGAGAGAGAGAGAGAGAGAGAGAGAGAGAGAGAGAGAGAGAGAGAGAGAGAGAGAGAGAGAGAGAGAGAAGAGAGAGAGAGAGAGAGAGAGAGAGAGAGAGAGAGAGAGAGGAGAGAGAGAGAGAGAGAGAGAGAGAGAGAGAGGAGAGAGAGAGAGAGAGAGAGAGAGAGAGAGAGACGCACGGTGCGCATCAAGAGGTCCACGCACCTCGCGATTTGAGAACCCCGCGGGTAGCGTGTTAATATTCGCACACGCTGACTGGCTCACAATTGTATCCCTCCAGTCTCTCCAGCCTTCTATTGACGTCAGAAAAGGGCCAATAAGCCTGACGTAGTGCTTTACTTGAAACGCAATTACCCGTCTGCTCAATGTAGCTTGTCAGATATTTCCGTTATTGTTAGCGTTATTTGGCCCTAGGCTGGCGCAGGCAGGCTCCCCGGCCACCGTTCTTTGGTTCTACTAAGGCTGGCGCCCCACGCCTTCACGGCTGACGCGCATGGGGTCGGGAGGCGGAGCAGCAGGCTGGTTTACGTGTTGCTAACCTCGGAGCGGGAAGCTAGGGGTCTTTTCCCGCCGAGGTAAGCTTCGGCCGAACCGGTGGCTTCCACTAAATAGCGATGCTACTAGATTTGACCGTTGCATGCATCAACAAACAACCAGCCTGATAAACAGCCTGATCTTGACGCCTGATAAACAGCCTCAGACGACGCGCCCGCGGCTGTTCCGCGGCCAACACGCTTCTGTTTCGTGGTTGACGCACATACCTTAGCACCTAGTGTGAGTCGCTTCACACGCTCGCTCCACAGATGGCGACGCTGGTGTCACCGCTGTCTGGATTCGTGCCTAGGGCTTAGGTTCTTCCATCAGGCGCCAGTGAAGCTCAGTCAAGCGCCTGCCGTGGCACCATCGCACCATGGCTGGCCGTCCTCAGCAACACTCCATGCTAACAACCTGGATGATGGAGGCGAAGCGCCAGTTGTAACCCACTGGTGGTTTTGTGTTAGCCACGATGCTCTGCTGTAGTCTTATTTTCACGACATCACCGATTATGATAGCGGATATGTTTCAAGACGTGACATCCGGCTGCGCTTGAAGGGGCAGTGTGCTGTCGCTTAAACCTATCTGTGGACGATGTGGAAAAAATCTGCATTTGCTCGCTTGGCCTATGCTATGACATCGCCGTAAAATAGCGGGAATATTTCCCCAATCCTTTAAACCAGCTGTTATTAGTACACCTAATGATTTATTATTGCTCATAAGCTTGGCGTATGAGCTGGTAGCATCCAGGTGAACATGCCGTGCCGTGTGAGATAGCGGGCATGTGGCAACCACGACCAAACGGGGCTTCCTCCCGCCGTTATTTATTTCAACCCATCTTTCTCCCCGCGCGCCATCGACATTTCTCATCTGCTCATCGTTCCGCGCTGGAAGTAAACCGCAAAAGGCGCTCCAATCGCCGGCGATGTTAACAGGCCTGGTTCCCGAGGCGGCGCGCGCGGCGAGCTGGCAGTCGACTGGCCGGCCGCCGCCCGCCACTAATAAGCCGTACGACTGGGCAGCAGCCGGTTATTAGTTCCGCCCGTCTTCGATCCAAGGCGGCTTCCAGCTCGTAATGACTGAGATCACTCCCCCCCCCCCCCGACCGTCCAGCGGCCGCACGAGGCGCGCCGGCCGCGCCGGGCGCGCGCTGCTCCAGCAGCCAGCGCAAGCCGTCGGACGCGACGGGCCAGCGGCGAGATGGCGTCCGCGGCGGCCAGTGAATCAGCCCTGGTTTGGTGGTGCTGTTCGTTGGCTAGTCTCGCGCATTATTTTTGTCGGACGACCTCGCTAAACCCGATCTGAGCGACTTAATGATGCAGCCAAGTGCGAGTGAATGGAAAATAATGAAATAGTGATACGGTTCTCAAGCAACTACTTATAAATTTTACGATCAAGGTGCTTCTTCCATGACTGATTTCTGCTCAAATCCTCAGTTTGCCGAAACGCAGCATGTTGCTCAAGCATCAGCTCAAAACCAGCAGCCTTGGTCACCTGTGTCCTGTTGATGCCCCAATGAGCACGAGAGGTTTTGATCGTTATGTGCAGTCGCCGCGTATGAGCAGGCCGCGTGGGCTGACTTCACAGCATTAGGTGTTGATATAACTTCTAACTGAACTGGCTTCGCTACGCTTCTGAGGAGCGGTAAATGCTTACGCTTGTCCGTTTTTTCTCCACAGTTGTATTTTTGCGTGGGTATATAAATTATAGCTTTATTTTGACGTGAACGTATGTAACCAACGCCGTTGAGGCTCCCTTAAAACTCGATAACCAACTAAGGAACGAGACTGTATGCTGGTAGGGTAAAGGAGCAGAGGGCTCCTGTTTGCCCAATAATTACCAACCTTCTGAACGTTCCCATTTGTGTAATCCACTCTCATTTACTTACTGAAATGCACGGTGCAAAATATATAGGGTGCATAACGCAACGTGTTCCGTGGTCTACCTTTTGCATTACATAGAAGGCGATCAAATAGCATGCACATTATACACCCATACGCTCCTTGAACGCTGATATGTGATTTCGTGCACAGCTGCAACATATTTTGCGTTGCAACCAGTAAGTGTGCATAAGGCACCATCCACCCAGCTCACAATCCCTGAAACGTTGAATTATTTCCATAATTATCATTTCCGGTAGCGGTGGATGATAGTTACAGCGAGGCCTACGTGGCCGAGCGTGTAAAGCATCAGGTTTTGTTTCGCGTCGTCCGCTTTCGACCCTTCGCGAACGCAGGTTTGCGAAGTCCCAGCCCCCATCAGAGCGGACGGCTCAGCTTAACGAGAGGCCGCGCCAGTGGCCTTGACAGCTACCTGCGTCGATAAAGAACTCCGCACGTGTTGTTCGTCTAAACTGTTGCGGACATGGTTTATCAGGCATTAAGTTGCCCGCGGCATCGTGTTTTATGCAAACATCCGTTGACAATTTCAAGGTCGGACTGGTTTTCGGACCTGTTCAGTGTCCTTCACTGGAGGCACTGCGTGCCTGAAGGTCAGGCTGGTTTGAGTAGCGCTCGCTCTGTCCTGTCCCCGGCTGCGTGGAAAGCTGCTCCGCGGTGGGTTCGACCGACATCGCAGCCCGACTGACAGCCCGCGGCTCGTCGCGCCACAAAATAAATAAATTCAAATGCTGTGCATGGATGACCCGGACATAAAACACATTTCTGAGAAAAGAATATCGCCTGCATCCTGAGTCTATCACTCAAGAAGCGTGATTCTATGAACTTAGGGTTATCGCCATGCAAAGCAGGATAGCAGCTGCGACCTGAAGGGTGTTACATGACCTGATAAGCGTTTTCCACTCGAATGAAACAAATGTGAGCATGCGCACCTGGGCATACTGATACGCACCAGGCAGCCAGAGGTAGCGCAGTGCCACGTTGACCAGAAGGCTGGACACAGCCGGACACAGCCGCTGGACACAGCCGGACACAGCCGCTGGACATAGCCAGACACAGCCACTGGGCACAGCCGGACACAGCCGAACACAGCCACTGGGCACAGCCGGACACAGCCGGACACAGCCGCTGGCAGCGTGCGCAACATCCGCCCGCAGCGTACCGGAGCCAAATCAGCGGGAGTGCCGGTACGTGGCACGTCCCCGTCGGCCGGCCAGGACATGCTGTCGGACCGGCGGGGCCGGCGGCTGACCGAGCCCGGCCCGCGGTGCCGGCCGAGTCCCGGCCAGCACGCAGTGCCAGCCGAGCCCCGGCCCACGGCGCCAGCCAAGCCCCGGCCGGCCCGCAGCAGCGCCAGCTGAACCCCGGCCCTCAGCAGCGCCGGCCGAACCCCGGCCGGCCCGCGGCGTCGGCCGACCCGGCCGGCCCGCGGCGTCGGCCGACCCCGGCCGGCCCGCGGCGTCGGCCGAGCTCCGGCCAGCACGCAGTGCCAGCCAAGCCTCAGCCGGCCCGCCGCGCCAGCCGAGCCCCCCCGAGCCCCGGCCGGTCCGCGGCGTCGGCCGAGCCCCGGCCGGCCCGCAGCGCCAGCTGAGCCCCGGCCCGCAGCAGCGTCGGCCGAGCCCCGGCCGACCCGCAGCGCCAGCTGAGCCCCGGCCCGCAGCAGCGTCGGCCCGGCCCCAGCCCGGCCCGCAGCGCCAGCCTCCGGCGACGGCACGTGGTCAGGCTGACCGTCCGCGCCAGTCCGGCTCCGTGAAGAGAGGCACTCCGGGGCGCATGGAATTGGCGATCGCGTTTCGCGGTCGCGCTAGGCGGGCCGTGCAGCCGATATCAAGTTTGCGCGCCATGGCTGTCTAGCTCTGGAGTTAGAGACAAAACTAACATTTTTGTGAAAGGGAAGTTGTGAGGCCGTGGTGCATAAGGCATGCAAATGCTCAGCTTCAAAGTTACATTTCAATCCCTTGAACCGCACGAACGCTTAAATACAACGCAAGCACAACACTGCATTAGCACTCATGCTTGGAAACTTGTCAACACAAGGGTGAGGAGTGTGAACAGAAGTGTG